GCGTGCGTGCGTGCGTGCGTGTGTGTGTGTGTGTGAATGAAAAAGAGAGAGAATGTAAATGCATGTTTATGCGCGCGTGTAGTCAGCTGATCGTCGCGACGGTCCCGCGTATCGCCTACTGGCGGACAGTAAGTTGCGCCGTCCGTGTCTACCTTCCGTACGCGCCCCATAATTCGCTAACTATTTTTCGTTATAATTTGAAAACTAAGCTTCGGACAAAATTTTTGTAAAGTAAAAATCGTTTTAGAATTGAGTCAAGAATACGTCTTTACAAGAATATCGGGGTTGTTCTGAATCACCCTGTATATATGTGTTATAATTACATCTTCTGAGCTAGTTTTTTTACATAGAAAAAATGTTTATAATTATATTAATAAAATTATACAATATTTAAAATTTAATTATAAAAAATAGTAAGATATTCTAGAAAGTCAAAATACGATCGAGGTTAATTATAAAAAAAACATATTCAAGGAGTGTGTTTCAACTACATTTTTTCAATAACATAATATATACGTCATTATTACAAAATGCTCAAAGACGTTGTCAACATCACATATTTATTTTGTCTTTAAAATAATATCGCAATTACGTCATTAATATTATGTAATTGTTACAACGTTTTTACAGAATGTTCAAAGACATCAACAAAGTCATATATTTATTTCAACTTAAAAATAATATCGTAGTTTCTTCATTATAGTTATGAAACTGTTACAAAATTTTTAGAGAATGCATATTGACGTCTACAAAATCATATTAATGTTACGTATTTAAGATATTGTCGCAATTATGTTATTACAATTTCGTAACATTTATGAAACTTTTAAGGTATGCACATGTACATTTACCAAATTACGTAAATATTACATAATAAAGTGTTGTTAAAATTTCATACTAATTCTACGTAACATTTACAAACTTATTACATCAATAACATAATTAATACATCATTGTTTCGATTTGTTGATCTGTAACATTTACATACAGTATGATATGTAATTGTTACATAAATGGTCCTTGTATGTTTACTGGGTATTTAACGATTACTTATTTTTCTTTTTTTTTTAAACAATAGAATTTTTATTATTATATATTTTTTCTTAACTTATAAATAAATTCATACAAAAAATATCAATTTCCGGAAAAGAAATAAATACATTTAAACTAAAATCTTTATTTCTTGATAACTGACAAGGGAAGTTTGCGAACCCGAAAATTCAGAAAAATCTGACTCTTGGTGTAAAAGTAGAGCAGTTCATCCGTAGCATGAAACTATTTTTCGTTGGTGCTCAATTCCGTTTTAAAGGAATAAAACCACCCCTTGAAAAAAATCGGTTTTTTTATTCCGACGTGAATATTGTCGAAACTATGAGAGATAGAAAAAAAATGTTTTAGATCAAAGTTAAATGGCATGAAGGGAACTTTGTGATAGTAATAAC